TCCTCAGCTCACACTTCCCTACGTTTTCTTAAGACAAAACATAGCTTTTTTTTTTTAACCCTCTTTCTTTAGAGCAGCCTTCATTTGGGGAAGCCAATATTCTCCCTGCACTGCCTCCAGTGCCATTGCCATTGCTTCTTTTGCAACGTAGTGCCTCTTGAGTGAATGTGGGTGGCTAAAGGATACTTGAATCAACAGCACAATCATTCCTGCAAGTCAGGGATGACTGTCAGGTACTGCTTTGTATATTCCTGGACTAGTAGGTTGCTGCTGGCATGTTTCACAGCAATGTTTGGTCTCTCAAGGTCCTGTTTTGTGTGTTCATTCCAGCAGATGAGGAGGTTGGGAAGCTCTTTGGTCACTGCAGTGTGGTGTGAAGCTCTCCAGGGGGGCTCCAGCCAAGGGCACACGCAAGCTGCCCTCCAGGCTTCAGGAGTGGTCAGGATCACAGTTCAGTATTTCCACGTGCTCTAACGTGTATCAATTCCTGGTTTGTGCTGCACTGAATCCCACAGTTACTCACATCAGCAAGAGGAGAAGCCTTGTTCCTTCTCCCACCTGCATCCCTTCAAGAGGTGTTCTGTTCCCAGCTGTTGTGTGGCTCCTGGCAGTGAGTGGAATAGCTGCAGTTGTAAGGGGGATTGCTGGGTATGTAAAGCTGCAGTTTCCCTGCCAAAGCTGGAATGTAGCTGGGCTTGGCCTCACTTACCTCTGGCCAACAGGTAGCCCAGAAATCTTGGCAGCAGAGGAATTCCCCTGGGAAGGTGTCTGTCCATGCTAAGGCCTCCAGAGTGAGCTTGGGTCACCCAGGAGCAGGAAAGCTAAGCTTTTATATTCTTCTAAACTCAACATCTTTAGGCTTCTTGTCCACTCTCCCCTTCTGTGCTTCTGTTTGTCTAACATGGAGCTTTTCCAGCTCTCTGGCTCATGCTGTACATGTTTCTCTTCCGGCGTATGTCGTTCTGGACTGTCCCTTTGAACAGCTCCCAGCTGCATCCCCAATCCCCTGGATTTAGTGGTCCTTCACTACAACACACATTTTAACAGAGTTTGCAAATTTGCAGAACTCTGCTGCCCGCTGGGTTTCAGTGGAGTTCTGTATGCAAACTAAAATATTTCTCTGGTTTTAGAACATTAGTCTTTCTACATCTTTATCCACACAATTGGTGGATGAGATCAAATGTTCAATGAACAAACTCTTTCAGAAGTGGCTTAATGTTATTGGCACTTGTTCTTCAGTCTGCCCTTCAGGCAGAAAACCATCAATTAATAAGAAAAAACAGAGTGGTTGAAGCCATCATAGTTGAATAGCTACACCTCCTGTGTTATTTTTCTTGCATTCTGGTATATAGTGAAGACTTGTTAAAGCCATTGTTAGGGAGATGTAACAGTAGGTTTTCCCTTCTTTTATTCCTGATAGCAATTAGCTTAAAAAACCTCCAAAACCTGAAGAACCCTCCCCCTCAAACACCTTTTTCTTTCAATGAGGAATACTCACTCTAGCAGAATAATTCATTTATGGCTATAAGGAAAAAATACAGCTGTCAACATAATCAAATTTTACAGTATCAAAACTTTCTATCAATATTTTTGTGTAAGCACTTGCAGGTGCTTATTCCCTTTATATTTGTCATTAAGGATTCACTTCACATTTGGGCTCTTCAGCTGCTTCTCATAGGTCTGTTTGATCTTCAGGTATGACCTATGGATTGTTGCCCTTCTCTCCACCCTCCCAAGGGCCCTGACCTTTGGGAACTGCTGAGTGTTGGCCTCAGTTCTGCTTTGCTGCTCTGTACAGGGCTGAAAGTGATAGCTGCAGCCACTGTGTTCTACAGTTTGTAAAGAGTCAGCTGTAAATTCCAAAATCTTAAACAGAGTATAATCACTTCAACAAAACTGTGACATCTTGGCTCGATGTGTTTGTATTTTGATGTTTATTTGTTGGTTTGATGCTCCTGTCCCTGCGTGCAGCACAGTGTAATAACAAAGCAGTGGGTGCTGTGCTTGGAGAAGACCAAGTAAGGCAAGTGCTGAGCTCAGAAAGCCGTTTATGTAAGCAGTGAAATCTGTGCAGTGTCATTTTCTGTTTGCTTTTGAACAATTATGGAAATCACTGACAGCTGCCAAAAAGCAGGAGGACTTCAGTTTCCAGACTCCTGTTGTGTTGTAGGGAGCATTCTCTGTAACAATTAGCCTTTTTTCTCTCTTTTTTTTTTTAAAAAAAAACATGTCTGCTTGGTACTGGCAGATTTCAGCTCTTTTTGCAGCTTCTGCCTGGATATCTTAATGGGCAATGGCCCTCTGGCAGCTGAAGTATAGCTGGAAGCATCACCTCAGCTTACTGATGCTGTTTGATGTGTTGCCTTTGCTGTTTCTGAATGACTGAAAATGCAAAACATTAACCCCAAACTGCCCTTTGTAATGTAAAGGTTTTATTAATTTTTATGTGGAGGCTCTTTGTCCTTCCCGGATTTGATTCTAACCTGGAATACCTTTTTGAAGAGCGTTTTTATCTCTTTTTTGACTCTTGATGGGTTGTGGGGACCACCAAATCCAGTTTGGTTTTCTCTTTGCCCATTGTGGAGTTATCTGTGGTGATGACATGGTACTCGGCTGGAGATGGTGTTGCGTGGAAATATATCATAATCTGAGACATTGTCTCGCTGAGAGGATTTGAAACTGCTGGAAATGGAGGGTTTAAAACTTAAACCCAGAGAATATTTGCTAAAGAGACATTTTGATGCAGTTGTCCAGTTTAATCTTTTTACATGATTTTTAGGCTTTGTGCAAAAGTTCTAATAACAGCTTAGCGAATGCAGAGTCAAACCCAAAAGCTTTTGACAGCTTTTTATTCAAATTACTGCTACTCTTTTTTTAATAAGAGGATTTATAGGACTCTTGCATGTCACATGTGTATTGTATAGCCCCAGCAGCAGTGCAGCTCATGGTTAGTCCGAAGTACACCATTGCCCTCCTTCACACCTGCCACAAACGCTGGGCAGGAAACCTTTCTCACTCACAGGAATGGTTGCCTAGCAGCCAGGACAGCTGGAAAAATAGGATTGAATTGCAGCTTTCAGGATTGGGGTCATTTGGCTTTTGACTTCAAGGGTGTCTTGCTCACTGGGAGAGTTCATCACCTCTGGGCAGCGGTGGAAGCTAGGAACCTGGGGAAGGGGGATTGCTTTCCCAGCAGGCTTCCCTAAACTGCTGAGAGTGGAATTTCAGGTGGAAGGTAGGGAAAAAAGCTGTAATCTAGGAGAGAGCACGAGGATGTGGCAAGGAGCTTGGCCTGTGCTGCTGCATTTGCCTGTTGTGTGCAGGAAACCACGCGGAGATAGGTCACTGCTTGAGTTACACCACGGTGGGAATAGTATTCCTCCTTCAGCATCCCATGAAATGGGGCCAGGCCAGCAGGGCAGGATCACAGCCCAATCTGCTGCAGTCCCCCAGGCAGGGTGTGAGAGCAGAGTGATCCTTGCTAACCTCCAGAACAGCAGTGCTGGTCCCAGTGCAGGGTGTAACTGCTGGGAATTAGGGCACTGGTAGTGCAATGACTTTTCCTCTGTCCCTGCAGCAGTGCATTAGTCACTGTAGGATTTCTGAGTGCAGAGCTCACCTCCTTCAGCTCCTCAGTGCAAGGCTGGAGAGTCCTTGTCACATGAGTTCAGAATGGGAACAGTTTCTGAGGTTAATGGATTTTATTTTTGAGCATTTGTTCTTGTAGCTGTTACTTGCAGCTATAGCACAGTTGCTCTTCAAGCAGGACTGTGCCAGCAGGGAACACTTTCTGTGTGTGCTGTAGGATCTCTTGGGCTTTTCTTCTTGCCCAAATGGTTCTGTAGTGATACATCTGTGGTGCAAACTTCCCCTGTGATTGTCTTTCAGTACACAGCTGCTGGTTTCACTGGTTCAGGAATGCTCAGAGGATGCAGGGGTGGGAAATGCCATTTAATAAGCACACACCAAACGTTTTTCTGAGGCTCTAAGTCCACGTTTCCATTTTCTAAAACCCATTGACTTGTCTTTAAATAAGCCATGAATTTGAGGAGAGGGATGGAACAATCCAAGTTTGATCAGCTGTGTGGCACTAACTCTGCTCACTGAGGAGAAGTCCTGCTGCCCGGGGGGGGACAGCACACCACAGGTTTTGTGCATAATCTGTCTGGCCAGCTGCATTCTAATCTTCCAGTTTTAGGAGGGGCATGGGGGGAAGGGACTGGCTTTAAGGCAACACTGTTCTCAGTAGATATCTTTGAAAATAGGATTGAAGGACAATTTAGTGTGTCTGTGCTCTTAAACGTAGCTCTGAGCTGGTAAGTATTGAAGGATTTGATGCCATAATAAGGACATTTTGGGCTGATGACTGATGTCAGCACGGCATCATTTCACAGGGCACAAATGGGGTGAGCTGGGGAAGTACCTTTGTGTTTCCTACCAAGACAATCTTTTGGCCGGTGTGTGTTTATACCACTGAATTTCCCTTTATCTTAGAAAGTTGTGACTCTCCTGGAGCTGGGGTGATCCAGCTACTTCAGGAAAATAGGGCACTTGTATCTTGGGGAATTCCCTGCTACAGAAGTCCCAAATAGCTGGAAGAGAAGGTCAAAGCAGAGCTCACCATTGGCCCAAGGTTAGGGTTTTACCCCTTTTGCCTCTGTAAATAAGTCAAGTAAAGAAACCTCTTCAGAGAACAGACACTTGGCCACACACACTTAACCATGGCCAGTTACAAGGTTCACACAATTGAAAAAGGCCTGAACACCCATCAGTCTGCCCGGAGATACCTCCTGGCTGGTGTGCAGGTCCTGCTGGCACGGATGGATCCTCCTGAGCAGCAAGGATGAGCACACATGCCTCCCGGGAATACTGCCCTCCAGCTATCAACCTCCATCCACCAGAGCTCCATGTTGTGGTTCTCTATGAAAGTTGTGTTGTTGTAGATGCTGATGTCTTCTCTAACTCTGTTTTCTGCACCTCATTGCTTTGTTGTGTATAAGCTCTTTTGTTTTCTGCCGCTCTGTCACTGCGTTTCTGCTGCCCCTCCCTCTAGCTGGGTTTGTCAAGTCGCCCATGTCAGAAACTAAGCTCACGGGGGACGCCTTTGAACTGTACTGTGATGTGGTTGGGAACCCCACTCCAGAGATCCAGTGGTGGTATGCTGAAGTCAACCGGGCTGAGTCTTTCAAACAGCTGTGGGATGGCGCTCGGAAGCGCCGTGTCACCATTAACACTGCCTACGGGGCCAATGGGGTGAGTGTGCTGAGAATAACCCGCCTTACCTTGGAAGACTCTGGGACTTACGAGTGCAGGGCCAGCAACGATCCCAGGAGGAATGACTTGAGGCAAAATCCCTCCATAACGTGGATTCGAGCCCAGGCTACTATAAGCGTCCTGCAGAGTGAGTCCGGCACCCACAGTAGTGGCACTGTAGTCCCTAGAGGCAGTCTAGTGACCCTTCCCCTGTTACCCAAACCCTCTGCCACCCTGTCCTGTGCTGAACCTGCTGCTCCACCTGTAGTGCTGACCTTGTCTGCCATCTGTGTCTCTTCTCCTTAGGATCAAAGGACTTGGGAAAATCTGTAGATGTGTGTTTAGAGCTTCTGTGTGAAAACGAGCCCAGTGTTGGATCTGTGTTTGTTCCCTACCCCTTTAACTCTGTAGTAGGTTTCCAGCCTCCCTGACTTCTCCATGAGTGCCTTTATATTTGATTTCTGTGTTCCTTCCCAGGTCTAACCGTTTTATTTTGATTTCTTCTGTTCTCTTGGAATTTCTCTGAATGCCTTCTCACGTGGTCTTGGTTGCATATATACTTCTGTATAAATCCTTCCCTTTCAGTTACACGTGACCTTTAATGTTTAGATTTTTCCATGAAGTCGTGGTGTTTCTTTTCCTTCCTGAACAGCAGCATGTTCCTGATGAGTTCTCTGATGCAGCAGCACTGAAGTGATGCAGCTATTCCTCACCCAGGCTGTGAAAGGGGAGGGGGGAACGTCCTCCCCCAGCACAGAACTAATAGCTCCAGATAAAGGGCTTTCATCCGAGGAGGTGACTTTTGGCAGCAGCAAAGCTCTCAAAAGCAGAGGCTATGATTGGTCCAGAATTGCTTTTTGTTCTTTGTTGTTACAAGGCTTTTCTGCCTTTAAGGCAGGCCAAGACGAGTTTGGGAATCAATATGGTCAGAGTCAGTGGAGAAGGACCCTGGTTTATTTTGGGAAAGATGGAAAACTCTTGTGTTTGCTGACAGTGAAGCAAATGTGTAAAGAGTTACAGACAGAGGGAATTAAATCTGCAATGTGGAGGTACAGGAGAATTTGCTTTCTGGGTGATTTCTCAGTGTCCTAAGATGACAAAGACCAGGGCATAGGTGCTGTATTCTCTTGTGCTCTGTGCATGAATAAACCTTTTATGCACCACTTGGAGTTTCGTCTGGGTACAAAAATGTCAAATCTGTAATTATGCCTCAGTTACATATTTGGATGTCTTAAAAAACCCAAGCCAAAACTGTCCCTAAACCATGGTGCTGCAGTCAGCACTGCTGGATCAGAGACCTTCCCTCTGGAAAATGGAAACAGCATTGATGTATTTGGAAAAATAGACAGTGAACCCAATGATGTGAATTGACTTAAATTTTTAAGTGGCATTGGGTCGTTATCTGAAACCTGCTCAGCTTTCAGTCCTAGTGCTTGATTCCTCCTCTGTCCTTTGAGGTCCCAAAGGACTCGGATTGCTTGCATGACCTACAGAGGCAAGAGCCTGTCCTTTTAGGAAATGATACTGCCTAAAGACAAAGCCAAAACATTTGTCTTCGAGGAAGTAATGTCTCCTGGAAGTCCCCTCTGCCCTGTTCAGACCTCTAGGTTTCCTGTTGTGTGACTAGTCAGTGGTGGTCCTGTGCTCCTCTTGCTGTGTCCACTCAGCTGTGGTGACCTCCTGAGGGACAAAATCCTTTTCATATGCAAAGTCAACCTTTGGGAACGAGTTGCTGTGAAGATGTCTCCATATGGAAAGTGGGTTTTTTCCTCTCTCAGGCCGTTGATACTAACCTGCTCCGGGGACTGAAGTTTAACCTTTGTTCTTCCTCCCCAGTTAACATGGGCTTGTTGCATCTGGCTCTTCTAACTCGACAGTGTGTGTTGTGACTTCTTTGCCAAGTGCCTTGTGCCTGGGATAATTCTGATTTTGTGTTTTCCTCATGGTGGGGGAAATGTTGAATCAAATACTTTGCTGCTTTTACTCTGTAATATTGTGTATGTTAAGAGATCTGACCTGCTACTGCTTGGGAAACAGCCCCCGTGGACACGCACCTGCTGCCTGACCGTGGGGGAAATGGAGATAAGGGTGGAGAAGGTTTCCAGGCCGTCCCTGGAAGGTGGAGACCATCTTATCTGAACCTGCCCCAAATGTCTCAGCTGCTGTGTTGTGTGCCTGAGCACAATTTGGCTTTGAAATGGGCATTTTCTGACCAAACAGCCTTGCAGTTTCCAGTGCCCACTTGGCTGCCACCCTGATTTGACGCCAGCATCACTGGAAGGGAATGTTCAATGTCTCCAAGAGCACAATCTCTGTCCCTGTCCTTTGAATCACAGCTTGTCCCAAACACCAGAACTCAAGTGCAGAGGGATCAAGTGGTGCTGGATTTTTAACATTTGGCACCAAAGAACTAGCATCTGGCTTCTGTCTCATTCCTGATTTGGAACCAGAATTCCACTTATTGGGTTTTTCTAGTTGCTTTGCTTGGGTTTTGAACACTAAAAGTTAATCTTACCTAAAATGGGCAGTTTAAAGTGATGTGTGAAGTGACTTTTTGTAGGTGAACATCCTTCTTTGGATGTTGCTGTCCCAGTAGCATTCCAGTTACAGTTTGTCTTATGGAATGAAATCTGGTTAGTATTGCCTGATTATTTTTTACTAAACGTACAAAGGTGTAACATAAATGCAGGTAAAGATGTAAATGAAACTGCAGTTGCCTTTAACTTTCCTAAACTAAAACTGAATTACTGTTTCAAACACATTGCTAACAGTATTTCCAGAGCCCTCTTAGTATTTTCCTGAGAATGCACATGAGCTTTTGGCTGGGGATGGAAAAGCACACAGAGCATTCCAGTGATGGTACATAATATGGCTGTGAAACAACACTTTTATACCCTCTGGGACCCAAACAGATCCTTGCATGGATAAAAGTCCCAGCATGGGAGAAATGAGGCAGAAATACAGTTAAAAATGTGTGATGATAATCAAATGTCCAAACCCTCTGTTACTGTATCTGTCACTGCTGCTGCAATTAAGAGTCCTAGGTTTAAACAGCTATGGAAAGGACTGTCCAGTCTGCTGGAGAAAAGGGGAAGAATACACAGGACTGGAATGCTTCACCAGGATATTAATAGGTAGATACTTTTTCTCCCTGCCTCTCTGGGCAAGAATTTATGGACTGTACTGTAGGACAGAGGAACATTTTAAGTGTGGAAACTGCAACGTTCCTGACACAACTGGGCTTTTCCATTCCCCTCCTTCTGCTTCATAACTTGCATTCCAAGGGCTTTGCAGATGAATAGCCGAAAGACTACATGGGTATGACTAAATTTATATTCCAAATCGTTACCACAAGGCATAACAAAGTTTACAGGATTAAAACTCCTTTGGTGACTTGCAGAAATGATGAGGATGTTCATTGCTAACTGAGGTCCTCACCCCCTGCCCTCTGCTGCTGAGCATGACAGGGTCACAGCCCTTGCAGCCAGGGGGCTTGGTGCTGCCTGGGCCTGGTTGGAGAAATGAGCAGCTCTTGGAATTCACTGTCCCTTTAAAGGAAAGTCATCCAAGGCTGAGGACACACAGCAGCACTTAGGCAGCACAGGGTGCCGTAGGAGTGGCCTCTAGTTCAAGCTGAAACTAGAGCCACTACTAAGTGTAGGTATTTTTTTGAAGATTAATAGCAAGAATTCTTAATTTGTTTTAAGCCCTGTCATCCTGCAGTAGAGGGTTTTGACAGAATACTTGAAACCAGATATGAGCCATGAGACCTGTTTTCCAAGTTTGGGAAGAAACTTGTCTCTGACTATACTAAAAATTCCTCAGCTGTGTTTGTTAGAGAGCAACAGCCACCTGCATGATCTTAAGCCAGTGTGGTTATCCAGTGTAAGGACAGTGCCCTCATCCTAGTCCTATCACTTCTGAAAGGCTTGCCCCTAAAAAAGCTTGGGAATTTGCCATTACCAGGTAAGACTATGATGTGAAGCAGCCTGGGTTCAGTTCCTGCAGCAGCCAGCACAGTGCTAGCTCCTGGGGTCTGGCTGTGCACTGAGGCTCACGTTTTTCTTCTGTTTATATTTAAGGTTGCTTTAGAAACAAAGTAGGTCCTTCTCTCATTTGCACATGCTGTATATTCTCTTTGTTGTCAGGCACTAGGGTCTGCTTTCAGCCATTGTCCATCAGACTCGTGCCTGACCCACACTGGGTGTTCACCCCAATTTCACACTTCACACAAGTTGGGCCCTTTGAAATATCTTATGTACACAAGCTGTTTTCCATAGGGAGATATTAGTCCTTTTGCAGGGGGAAATCCAGGAATACTATTCAGAGGTCCAACTTTGAGGGGTGTTCTGTATAGCAAATGGGTTTGTTTGAAACCTCAAAGTAGAGGAATCAAGTAGCAGCCAGAAAGCAGCTTCTGGAGGACTGGCTGATCTCTTGTGTGACAGGACATGTGTTTGCCCATGTTGTGGTCAGTAACGTGTCAAAAGTGATAGTGGTGTTACATAGAAACCTGTAGTGCTGTGACTATTGAAATGACCAATCTAAATCATTCTCTTTTTTCCATACAGGAGTGCTGATCTGTAAGGTGTTGCCATCACTAGTGGTCAGCTGTTTTATTGTGGCTTTCTTGGTGTCTCCCAAACTAGTGCAGTGACATTCCTTGTGTAGTCTTTTCCCTTCCCGATTCCCCTTTGGATCTTAGATTAGTGTGACACAGTTGCCAGGGAAGATGAGTTGCTATTTAGTGTGTCCTTTGTTTCAGAGCCCAGGATCAATGCCAGTGAGGATGTAGTCCTTCACGTGACCGGGGTGGCCGTCACATTGCAGTGCAACCTCACCACCAGCCCCAGCCCCCTCTCTGCCAGCTACTGGGTGAAGAATGGAGAGGAGATCCCAGGCACCAGGAAAACCTCAAACACTACAGAATACAAGTAAGTCTCTTCAGAATAATCTTCATGTTCCACTGGAGAACCACAAACCTGGTAGACCTATGACTATGGAGGTGTTGGGTTCCAGGGGATCTAAACTCTAAGTGATTTGACATTTTGCACTCTGAACTCATTTAGTTTTTCTTTAAGGAACATGTGATGTGTGGACATAGGCACAGACACATAGTCATGTTTTGTTTTCCCCTGTGTGTTCTCTATTCTGCTCATGTCTACATGAAGATGGATCTGCTGCTGTGTGTCTTTACTGTGCAGGGAAAAGCAGCACACAAATCACTGCTGGAATGGGCTGCTTTAGGAATTTCCTGGCCTTGGGAGATGAAAGATAGGAATCTCTGAGTTGTTACTGACAAGCTGTCAGGTCACTGCTGTGAAAAGACCCCAACTCTTGATTAGACCAGTACAGGTGTCACTTGTGCTTTGATTTGTCTGTGCATCCATGTTCTCAGCATTGATCTGTTCCTCTGGCTCTATGCATCCCTTCCACCCAAGGGTGTGAGAACGGAACCTGCACAGCCACCTCTCTCCTTTCACTGTAGCTTGCATGGAGCAGAGATCCTTTGAGGGTTTCCATATTCTTCAGGAATATGGACTTGGTTGCCCCCGTGTTGATGAGAGCACACTAAGCTCCCTCAGTGATAACCCTCGGACATCTGTTCTATGTATGTCATTTTCTTGCATTGTTTTTGCTTTTCATCCATTTTCTTCCCTTGATGCCAGCATGGGCAGCAAAAACAACTTTCATTTCAGTGTTAAGCCAAGATGAGGAGCACTTAAGGAATGTTTTAACCACTAGTGATAGCTCAGTCTCAGCTAAGCAACTTGGTTGCTTATTTTCTGTTTGAGGTGTCTCTTTACCACCCTAATGTTGCTTACAGGCACAGGGTTAAGAAATGTTCAAGGTTTTCTTTACCTTAGCAAAGCATCCTTTCATCCACAGGGTTGTGGAGGTTCTGTTTGATTCCAGTAAGGGTTTGTTTAAGCTTTTCCTTTTGTTTTCCTCTTTAGCTCACTTTGCATTATCTCTTTAATTTAGCAGTTAAAAAAAGTCTCATTCAGTGCCCTAATCACATCCTGTTACTTCCTCAGTGCAATGTTTAACACTAGGTCTGAACCTTCAAGGCTTTGCTTTCTTATGTAGCAATTAACTTGATGAGCAGTTTTGCCCAAAAGCACCAACTTGAGTGGGCCAATAAGTACTTTGTGTCAAGGTCACTGAAAATTGCACATTATTATCCAGGAAACTAAGCTTTGAGGCTGACTCTGTAATCTGTTCCAAGCTAGGGTGGATTTCTCCTTCTAAATTCCCCTGTAAAGGAAGAATTAAGCTTGGCTTCAGTTTGAACTTTCTGGAGAAGAAGGAATTCCCATTGTTCCCAGGGGATGGAGGGGTTGCTGGAACCTGCTGCAATCCCAGGGACAGCTGGAGGAGTCATTGGATTTGTATTTGCAAAGCAGATCTTGAATTCCTGATCACTCTAAGCTATGTTGCTGTCTGTTGGGGTTTCAGGCTTCCTGTGGCATTTGGTTGTTGCATTCGATCTGCTCCTTAACTTCTACTGTGATTTGGTTCCTTTTTAAATCTAGAAATACCAAATTGTCACTGAGGATCCAGGCAAGCAACATCAACACAGCTGTGGTTAAAAGAGGGTATTTAACTCCACCATCTATTTTCAGGATTGGTTAATCTTTTGTTGCCTATTTATTTTCATTAAAAAACTTGCAGGCTTTTGGTTTTTCAGTCATAAACATGTTGGTTTGCTATAAAATGTGGGTAGTACTTGAAGTTCAGTGCTGTTTGCCATCCAGAAAGCTTCAGAATGCACAGGTTAAACTACTTCCTTTAAAAAAAATCCTGCTTCTTGCAACACTGGGAATTGAATACATCATCTAACTCTTCATTCAGACTCTATGTAGCTGCTCTTGCTGGAACACAACTGTCTGGAGGAAGCTGTTGGCTAAACAAACTTGTTTCAAGCCCTTTGACTGTCTTTAAAACTCTGCAGCTCTATCAGTTTACAGTTGTTTAATGATTGATGGTAATAATAGCCCAGTCCACTGTGGTAGTGTGTCATGTCACACAGCAGCCTGGGGAGAGCTGAAGAATTGTGTCTTACTCTCTTCCCTTACTTCTAAGCATTGACTGTAGAGGATAAAAATGCAGTGGTCAGAGCACAATGATTTAACTCTTAAGGTGCTGAATGCAGTTAGAGGCAGGCAGGTGTTCTCTGCCTGCCCTCACCACTGCAGATCCTGGAGGAGCCTGGGAAGAGCTGGGGGTGTTTTCTCCAGCAGCCCCATGAGGCACTGACCTTCAGGGGTGCTGCTCACCTCCTGGCAATGCCTTGGCTGCCTGCAGGTAAACCACAGCTCTTGCTTTGCTGTTTGATGATGCTAAAGGGTCATTCTTCCTGTCCTGAAGGTAATCTGTAATCAAAATGTGACTCTGTTGTTGTTTATCTGAAAGATGTATTAACTTCATAACTGACTTCAGACCTTCACCACCAGCTCTGGAAAGTAAACCCAGGAAAGACTTAAGTCCAAGTGTGGTGTTGAACTGAGCAGCTTTTTCCATGTGCCTCTTGAGCACTTTCCATGTGTAACTGAATGATTGCAGTGCTCTTCTGCAGGGTTGCTGTGGAGCTGCATGCTGCTTGCTTCGTGTGCTTCCAGGTTTAACAATGAAAAAGAAAGGCAGGAAGGTTTTTGGTCAGGGGAGGGAGGGATGGGGAGGGCTCTGCCCCGGTGTGTGCTCAGGCAGGGCACACCTTCTTGGCCTGGCCAGTGGCTCGAGTGGGGCTTGCACCAAACTAACTGCACTGCTCAGTTAACAGGTGTTGGGCTCCTTCTTGGCTTTCTAGCTAAATGCAACTCCTCCAGCTACACTGGCACTGTGTGTCCAGACTTTGTCTAGGCAAACAATGTCCTTTATGTACATCTGAACAACACATCTCGAGTTATCAATGGGAAATTCAGTGAAAGCTTAAGGTCTGGGGTGGGGGGAATAGACTCCAATGTGCTTGTGGGGGTTGCTAACACCATACTTACACAGCTCCTGTGTTCTCTCCCTGTCTGCAGGATTTTGAAGGCCAGAGCAGAAGAGTCAGGGGAGTACTTGTGCGTGTTTGTATTTTCAAACTCTCCTGTAGCCAACGCCACTATAGAAGTGAGAGGTACTCTTGTTTTTATGTGTTTTGTTTTGTTCCCTCTCTCTGAAAGTGACACATCACTTCCTCTGCCAGCTCACTTGGTGTCCCCACAAGAGTAAATTCAAGAGGCCTTTACTCATGATAGATATCATTGCACACAGTCACAGGGGAAAGGTCTCAGATGGGAATATAACCACTGCACTTGTGGTGTACACAGGGGATCTGCAACACCTTGTAGCACACACCCCTGCACTACTTTCACTGCACTTGTGGTGTACACAGGGGATACTGCCACACCTTGTAGCACACACCTCTGCACTGCTTAGGGAAACCAAGAGAGTATGGCTGCCCAGCAGGACAGACTGCTGCAACATGTCTGTTCTCCTGCAAACACCGCCCAGCAGGACAGACTGCTGCAACATGTGTCTGTTCTCCTGCAAACACAGCTGTGCTCTGTTCCTCCCTGTCCCACAGCAGTGAAAGCAGCTGAATGCATGCACTGTATGGAATTTGTTCTAAACAGCAAGAAAAGGAAGAGCAGCAGCTTGTGTCTGGCAGCTTGAGAATAGCCTTTGTCTGCAGAGACCATTTCAACTGCTGGGAAAGCCTGGGATCTGCTTAGGGCAGATGTCCTCTAGCAGACTGAGGGTTTCTACTTCCATGCACTGTTTTTCCTGTCTTGTGCATGTTAGTAATCTCCTGGCACCTTGAGGACCCTGAAATTCAGGATAGAAACTGCAAAATGTGGAAGGCTTGCACTGAGCTTTGCTGTGGCTGTTGAACAGTGTTCCTGTCAGGTAACATGGAGCAGTGAACACCCAGTGATTGGGTACCACAGGTCTGCAGCAGGAGCTGACAGCTGAGCTCTTTTTGGGAATTCCTGATGCACACTCACATCCCTGAATCCAAGAGCACTCCCATGCAAGAGATGGAAATAATCCATCGGTGTGTGTGAAATGGCAAATTCACAGCATCATTCCCTCTCCAGAGAGCAGCATCTTAGGGATCATACAGTTCCCTGGGGAAGAGAAATCCTGCCATGTGAATGAGCATTCTGGCTGATACTGTACTGTTTGTTGATCTTAAAAGAGTTTCCCCAGCAAGTTCCTGGGATGTGAACACACAGAAATGGGCTCTTAGTGCTGAGAACTCTGACTGCACCTCTAACAGTAATTACTGCCTTGCTTACAGCAAGTCAAACTCAAGCTTATGCTGTGCTTGTGTTGAGCTTGTTATCTGGTGTTGAGGGATAGAGGTGTAGGGGGTTATTTGCCTGTTTCCTTTTGGGGATTTTTTCCTTTCGTTCTGCTCTTTTGCTCTAATGACTAAATTTTCTAATATTCTCTTACTTAAACCTTAAGTTCTTGCTGCCTTTTCTGGGCTGCTTTAGGTGACAAAGCACTTCTAGAGACAGGAAACTGAACTTGGGGAATAGAGTGAGACCTTTTTCAGCTCTGTGTAATCTCTCCAAAGACCTTTGGGAATGTTTGCTTTAGGGCTTTCCCAGTGCCAGGCAGGGCCACCAAGAGAACTTGGCAGGGAGGTTAGCAGGGATTTGGGATTTAACAGTGTGGAAAGAAAAGCCAATGTATCTGATTGAACTACTGGCACAAAGGGCAGAGGGAGAGTAAGACCTAATCCTGCTAACTTTCTCCATGTAACTTCTACCAAAATAGAGGAGAGTGGCCATCAGTGAGATGTCAGCGATTCCAGCAGCACTTTCAGGGACGTTTTACACCTCCAGTGTGCTCAGCAGTCACAATTCCAGGACTTGGTAACCCTCTTTTCCAGCTCCTTACATCAAGAGTGTCTTGAATTCCACCTTGGGAGGGAGAACCACCAGGGCTTGTCTGGGGTGGGAAGTACCTTGTCAAGCCTTCTGCGAAGCAAACTGGAACACGTGTGCACTTTTAAACTGGAATGATGCTTTCCTGAGTAACTCTGTTCCTTGGAAACCTGGGGAGTATAACTGGGACTGCATTTAAAGCCCAAGTGGGAGGACTTTGCAGTCTCCTTGCAGCTCTAGTGCTGCAAGAATTCTGATCAGAGAGTACTTGGTTGAGTTCCTGCTCCTGCAAGAGCCATGCAGCCAAGCTGGGCTGGGATCACACGTGTTTCCTTGGATATCAATGTCTCTGAATAACAGCCATGGGAGCTGCAAAGGATACCCAGGCTGGTTTTTAGCTTTGCAGAGGAAGGCACTGTCTGCAGTTCCTGCAGTGTGGTACAAATGCTTCACATGTTCTGCCAAAGCAGTTCCAGTTCTCAAACCAAACAGATCTTTAATACTATTTTCACTAACATGTGCAGATGTTTCCTGGTTGTTAATCAAGGCAGATGTGATGTCTGCTGGCACATGACTCTTGTTTGCCCATGCAGATGCTGTCATCTAATACCTACCTGCATGTGTTTGTGTTTGTGGCTAAGCAATTGTCCACAAATGTCATTGCTAATTGTAATTATGCTGCAGTTTTATCTGCTGATGCACAGAGAAAAAGATGGTTCTGAATACCAAAGTGGCTTGGGGACCAAAAATAGTGACTTTGTGACAAGTTGTGAACAACTTCACCAACTGCCTGGCAGCAGATGTAATGCAGGATATCCACTGCCATTTGCCTTTTATGTAATGCTGCCTGTTTGCCTCCCAAGTCTCAGTGTGCAATGTACGAAGTTAAAAATGCAGAAACATGAAGAATTGCTGGGTGTGCTGTGTATTTAAACCAGCCCCATCCCTGTGAGTGTTGGATGGGGCTTGAAGCAGCCTGGCCCAGTGGGAGATGCTGGACTAGATGAGCTTTAAGGTCCTTCCAACCTAAACCTTTTGTGAGTCTGACTTGGTGAAAAAAAGACTAGGGCAGCACTAGATAACAGCAGTTGGGGTTTAATGTCAGTCTCTCAGGCCATTCCTTGGAATTCCAAGTCTAGCTTCCCCTCATCCAGCTTTCAGATGAAGTGTCTGGTGGAGATTTTGAATGGTTTGACTCAAATTCTCAGAGCTTTGAGGGCATTGTGTGAGTGCAGCTCTAAGCTTGAAACAACAGGCTGAGCAAATGCTGATAGTAGGAAAAGAATGGTTGATATTAGGAACGTTCTGCCTCGGGATAGGGATCTTGTCCCAGCCTGGCTGGGAGCACTGCAGGTGA